AGAGACATCTTTACATAGACGACTAACTATATATATATTATATATGACTAGCTCACCGCCTCCTGTTTAGTGTGGGGCATGGAGACATCTTTTACTATACATAGATGAATAACTATATATATATTATGTATGACTAGCTTACCGCCTCCTGTTTGATGTGGGAGACTGAGATCTCATCCTCGAGATCGGCACGGCGAGCGTTCATCTCATCCAGCTGCCGCTGCTGCCGCTCCAGTTCTGCGAGCTGATCGTTGTTGCGAGACTTCATCTCCAGGTGGCGCCGTCGCGTGTCCTCGTCCATGTGCGCGACGAGCGTGTCGGCGAGCTGACGCTCCTGCAATGCAGACGCAGGTAGAAGTGCAGGTAAAGGTAAAAGTGCAGGTAAAGGTACAGGTATAATTTTAATATAGGTGTGCTACAGATACAGATGTGATATATAGGTACATACGCGATACAGGCAACAGGTATACACATGATACAGGTACAAACACAATGCAGGTACAGACACAATACAAGTTCAGATGTGACACGCTACAGAAGTGAAAATCTAGCTACCTGCTCCATCTCTTTTTCCAGTTCCTGCTGCTTCTTCTCCTTCTCCTGTCTCTCCGTGAAGATCATGTCAATACTCTTGGCTTCTCTATCATTCTGCTGCTTAAGGTGATTGTAATCGTCTTGCACCTGGAATGTAGGTCGTCAACAAATGAACAGCGGCAGCTACAAATAACGACACACGACATGGTATCCGTCACCACGTGCAATAGCTGTGTCCCTCATATGATGTAGCTAGTGGGATAGGATTTACGATCCTCATAATTTTTCCCTATCTAATCTTTTTTATAATACGGATCTATATCATAACAAATATATAAAAAAATTATCTTCGTTTTGGATCTCGATCCATACAGTAATCACAAGTCATTTTTGTAATGAAGCTAAAAATTGACAACATTCTAGACTTATGTCTACATTGTCTCACATTTAGATGTTTCTGACAATGGACCCCAGATTTAGCTACACCGTAATTCAGTGGTAACGAGGTAGGATAATGACATGGTTTTAATTAACCAGCCATGCAAATTAAATTAGCCAGGCACAATCGAAATTCGGAACGTATTCGTGGCTCCCGACAAAGCGGCGACGTCTGTACGACAGCCAGGACTCACCATGTTCACTGACATATCGGTGTTAAGCTTGTCAACGAGTGTGTTGTGGTCTATCAGCTCCCCCTGCATGTCCTTTATCTCCTGCGCTAGCACCTCAGCTTTCTTCTCGTACAGGAGAAACTGAGAATTCTCCTGCTGCAGTCTGTCCGTCTCATTCTGCCGACGAAACGAGATCGCAAGAACGATTTATCTCCCGCAGGGACTAATCTAGCTGCTTAAGGGCACCCATGGCGAGCGTAACGAGTGTACAAAAATTATATATATACTCATCTATCACATTAAATTGGGTGTTTGGTTGACACATTTTATTCAGATAATATATTATAGATCTTATATGAGCATTTTATTATAAAACAGTGCATAACGATAGAAACATGGAGATCTGCATCAGAGCTCTGCTAATTTGGGCGTTTTGTGAATTTTGTAATTTGGGCATTTTGCTAGGGGTCGTAATTTGGGCGCCGGTATTCGGTATGAAAAACTGCTTGGATTAGGCCCTGTCGACGCGATACTCGATTTACCGTTCGCAGGATCGACAAATATGATCAGCTTTAATTATACATCCTGGATTGAAGCTAATGGTAAACAGCAATTCGCATGGACGTCGTGAGACTGTATATTTATACTGATATGACGCACTCGTAAATGATACTATCACAATAAGGACACAAATCAGGAAATGCATTCTGCTGCACGAATTTTGTGTGTGTAAACATCGGAGTGAAGGTAGAACAAGAGTAAGCGTAGTCATATATTCACCTGTAGTCTATTGATTTCTGTCCCCAGCTCGTTTATTTTCGAGCGCATGAGTCCCAGAAAGTAGGACTTGTCCTGTATCTGTCGATGTGGGCCCTTGTAGCCGGTCTTGATGCCGCCGAGGCCCTGCTGGGTCGTCGGCCGATCCATCACCTGTATCTCTGTGTTCAACGAGGTTCCCATTGCACCCGTCGAGCCTCGCGTTCCTGGCCTGCCTGTACCTGCATGTCACGGACGCTATCGTTTCTACATTACGGTGTCTGTATAGTTCGTCTGGACAATCGTAGTTTGGTACACTGGCCCTCATTATCGCAAATTTGCTAAACTAATCCGAGGTGCTAAACTAGGATTGGGCCAGTTTGTCTATATTTTCTCGACAGAGAAGGCGTCACAGAATTGGCCATATGGAACGTGTCGCTCTAGTATATATGTATTGTGACCCGTGTAACTTCGTCGATAGGAAATAATACAAGATTGATCAAATTTCGATTCTCAAAATTAAATCGGGCGAAGGTCTTTGTATGTGTTCTCCAGACCTCACAAGATCGTGCAGCAGGGGGTGAGAAAATACACAATACGGGGGTGCGCGCATACCTGGGGTTGCCGCCATGGCATGGGCAAGTCTGGAGGCAGTACCAGGACGCATGGCTGTCGGTGGCCTGAGCTGTCCCGTTCCCGTGCCAGGCCTGCGTCCCGCAGCTGAGGGGGGTCGACTCATCCTGCCATTGCAACAGAATACACAGATATGCTAACAGTAACAGATACCGAAACAACTAAAACATCGTGTTTAAAAAGTGAAATTTATAATATTTTATCAGCTCCTGGAGCCTCTGTGGCATGTGCTCCACTGTAGAGCCTATACTAGTAGGCTAGTGCAGTTTAGCCTGTAAAATGTACTAGCCAGTACCACTACTACTAGTAATAGGTACTACAACCTACGTACAGTACAGGCTGTAGCGTAGGTAGGGAAAATTGGGTATCTCGCTGATTGAAAATAAGTAACGGCAGGTTTTTAGATACAGTTAACTTTTAGTTTTAGTGATATTTTAGACAAAGATTGAAAGAATACCGGTAACCTAGGCACCCTGTTATTTAATACCTCTATGCACCCAAACTATCCTAGGCATCTTATCAATAACTGCGATCTGTCTGTCTGATCAACTTATCTCTTTTTTCGAAATAGTCCCTTGTACTTTGAAGACTACTAGTATTAATTAATACGAGGTCACGAACGAAGGCAAAAACCACTTCGATCATCACATGAGAGTATGTTGACGTAATTTTTCACGTCAATGTATCATAAAACTAACCATGTTTACGTTTAAATATTAGAACTGGGCACGTCATATATGCAGAACTTCAACTGCTATATACTTCAAAAGTATCGTGAACAAATAAAAATTAACATTATAGTATTAGTAGGCCTAATTTATACGATATACCTTGGGAATTTTTCGTCTATTTTCTCGTTGCCATGGATTGTCCGGCCAGGGTTCGTAATTATGTCACGTGTGACGTGACGTCACTTGTACGGCGGTTCCGCAATTTTCGCCAGATGTCGCTGTCGCTGTCGCAAGTCAGCAGACGAAATCGGCAAACATCCGGGTACCCTGCCAAGCAGACGACCTTTTCCTGGACACGGCGAAAAGATGAAGACGTTTTTACAATTATTGTGTGCAGAAACTTCGATCAAATATCAAAATATCAAAATATCGGAGTTTTTTTTGTGGCTGAAAACACTAAAATAACAGACTATGGTGTTCTCTGTCCTAACTCAAGCAGAAAGAAAGTTTGGAAATTATGTGTTTGAAGGAAAACTTTGCAAACTAAAAGAAGTACGTCGATTGCAAAATCATTTCGCCAAAGCCGGCTGAGATTATAACTACTTGATTAGTCTGCAAATTCTAAGGAGTTTTATCAAACTTGGAGCGAGACAAAGTTGATCAAATAGACAGATCAACACTGACCTTTACAACAGCTACAGCTACGAAGATGGGGTACTGCATCGTATCATTCAGATTCAGGTAGGATTTTACTATTTTACTGACGACGAGGAGTTTGTGCAGTGATGTTGATAATGTTTTACCAATGTACCATCATTGTTGAGAAATATTGCTTCCAAGAGCTAGTAATATTATGTAAGAACATAGTGTTGTATGTATTATGTATGCTGGGAATTATTTGGGCATACTGTATAGTGTTTACGCGTGTAGTAAGAATGCGATAAGGGGGGCTGACTGCCTGACTCTAGAACTATAGCCTTTTGCTCTGCCACAGAAAGCGAAGGGCTATAGTTTTAGAGTTAGTAGAGACAGAAGAGGGAATATGTACATTTGAGAAATCTATGGTTTGCGGATGTGTGTCTGGACAAGGGTGAGTAGGAGCAGACAGTTTGTGGTCGTTTCAGAATAATCGTGCAATAAGGGGGGGGGCAGATCAGCTGGTGGCGTGCGTGCAGAGCGTGTTGTTGGTGGTAGGAGCAGATCAGCTGGTAGCATGAACGTGTTGGTGGTGATGGTGGGGGGGGGGGAACAATGTATATATTGTTGGCAGTGGTAGAAACAATACTGGGCCGGGTGCGAAATTTTTTGTCCCACGAGAGTTCCGGACCCACCACAGATAGTGTTTTGTAATATATGGTGCGTATATAAGACTATTTCCTATTTGAGCTCACAATACTACGTGTTACAATTTTATGTCACCATTTCAGTTGTGTATACTTGTAAACATATTATAGTTTATGTATTGATTTCGTTGCTGTTTAATTTTAGTTTTGGGTTAATTGATATTTTCGTTTTATCTGTTTTTTTTAAATATATATGTGTATATGACTTTACATTATATTTGTTGTTGTTGTTGTTGTGTGTGTAACTACATGATTATGCTTTCTTATACATGTAGACCTTGTTCAACTGCGTTATTATGTCACCGTCAACTTTTTTTTCCGATTTTATTGCGATATTCACGACCAGTGAGCAATCCTATGTTTATGAGTTTTTAACAGCATTTCCGTCTCATCACTACTTGTGCTAAAATTAACACCATGGATGAAAACTACAACAATGCAACCATACTCAAACGACTCTAACCGTGGAAAACACCACGTGGTCTACGTTGCGGTTCAGTATTATCCGTATGACTCACTACCGCGCATCGTGCGTTGCATTGTAACGCTCACGATGTCTAATCATTCTCTACTCTTCCAACAATTCATTTCCACAGAAGCAACCTCCACCGACGTAGAGGCGGCCGACGCAGCAGCCACCCTTGCGAGCAGCAGCACCCGAGAAGGAGAGGAGCCATCACAAGAGGCGGTGACAACGGCTCACGCCTACACCAACCTCGTGTTTGCCAGCAACACCGTCATAACCCTCGAACCTCTCCTGCCTGCCCGACGTACCCTGGAGATCGTTTCCGTCCCCGACGACACCACCGCCACTCCACCATCCACCTCGACATCGCCACGGACACCACTCCGACCATCAGGACCGACGCAACCCACCAGAGTCAGCAGGGCCGACTCTTCGAAAGTGCCGACCACCGCCGTCGCCAACCTCCAGGAAGACCAGTTCTCGCTGTTTCCCCGATGCCACCTCCCACCACACCTCCCACGACTCCCACACGTTGGTCACTCATACCCACCCCAATTTATGACTCCCACTATGTTCCCCCCTACCCCTACACTACCGATCCATATACCGGTCCCCAACAACGACCCCCACCCTCTCCCTTTAACTTTTCCATCAGTCGGGACCCATATTACACCTGGGACGACTACTACAGGGATATTGAGCACCGCACAATACCTGATAGTTTGGTCTTCTGGAGCGAGGACCTCGACCAGTGACCATACGACATGTATAGCGGCCGCGTCCTTAGGACCACCAACGGCGACGACGACGGAGATGCACATGAGCACTGTAATCCTGATGGCCGGTGATGTTCCCACGGATCCAGCCACGCAGTTGCTCCCACGGATCCAGCCACGCAGTTGCTCCCACGGATGCAGCCACGCAGTTGCTCCCATGGACAACTGACGACAACAGACGTCAGACGTCGCATTAATTAATGATTAGTCAAGCTTACATAAATTTTTTTTGGTAACTCTAGGTTGCAATAACATTTTAGCAACAGTTAGCACACACTATTTACTCAACAAAAATTCTCATTTAGTAAGTCTCTGCATTTCTTAAACTGTAAATGTAGTTGAAAATTATGTCTGTAATGTAAATGATAGTGTATTACGTAATTTACCAAACGCTTTATTACGTTTTTACTCAAATAAATTTATTCACGTGAACCGTAACAAACATTGCAGTGAATTTTATAACCGCATTAAACGAAACATGCGCACTTACACGGATTGTCGTGGAAAACGATTATTCCTTGCCAGGGGGTTCCACATGTTCCAGATATTAAAGCATCAATCGGACCTGGTGAAATATACGTGTGTGTAGTGGCGGGGTTGTAATGCGTGTGTGACGTTTGGCATGCTGGTTCATGCCTTCATAGGGTAGCTAACAATTGTGCGCGCGCGTGCGTACGTGCGCGTGTGTCTTCGTATGCCATTCCTCTGATGGATATTTAGACACAACCGTGAAGGATAAATAGTACGCCTCTACTACCCACTACCGTCGTACTACTTTACTGTATGCTTTATACTCCGCGGTAGTTACCCTGTGAACGTGGATGAACTAGGAGTACGAGAGTGAAGATAACTTCATGTTGTGATTATAGCGTGTGATGATTAACGCAGGATCTTGAAACTCTAATTAAGTAATTTTGATTAACAACGCTAATATGAAACGAAAACCCACGGTAATGTATTCATGCATGGTTCGTGTTCCTGACAAAAGTTTCTCACACAAAAAACGTGTTATTTCCCATTTCCCAGTTTAATAATTAAAATCGCAATTTCGACTCTCCCGCTTCCCCGGTGGGCTTCCATTCCCGAATTGAGACGACTGGTATTTTCCGGTTCCGAGATAATTGAAATGGCGAAATCTCGCATGTTGATAATAGGAGTTCTCCATCTGGCAGAATGCCCACCTAACGCTGTGTGATGACTGGCGTAGCTTCATGCAACTGATTATAACCTACATACCTGCATATATATATATACCTAGTCGTTAGTGGGAATTTACCGTAGGGCGATCATGTGTCTGTCTACCTGTTCGCATGCAAAATATTGTCGCCGGCGAAACACTAGATGCGTTTCCACAGAATGAACAGCGGAGCTAGAAAGAGAGGGGAAGGGAGAGGGAGAGGTAGGGAGAGAAGGAGAGGGAGGGGGAGAGAGGGGTAGGGTGAGGTAGTGGGAGGGTGTAAGGGAGAGAGGGAGAGAGGGAGGGAGGAAGGGAGAGCGAAAAAGACACAGAGAGAAGCAGGCGAGTGAACTAGGGTGTAAAAAAGAGATAGGGGAGGAGGTGTGGTGATTGAGGGAGGAAGAGGAAAGGGGGGGAGAGAGGGAGAGGGAGGAAGGGAATAAGAGAGAGGGAGAGGGAGGAATGGAGTGAGAGAGAGGGAGATGGGGAAGATGGAAGAAGGGAGAGAGAGGGAGAGGGAGGGAGGTAGAGGGATAGAGAAAGAGAGACAGGGGGAGAGGGAGGTAGAGAGATGCAAGAGCCAAGTACTGTGTATGATTCGCATCTTACGAGGGAGGGGTCACAAATGAATGAAGCTCTAAGAATTACGGTGTATGATTTGCATCTTATAGAGGAGAGGTGATAAATGAATGAAGCGCCAAGAGCCAAGGTCTGTGATTCGCATCTTACGAGGGAAGGGTGATGAACGAATGAATTAATGAAACTCCAAGAGCTAAGTATTGTGTATGATTCGCATCTTACGAGGGAGGGTGATAAATGAATGAAGCTGCAAGAACTACGGTGTATGATTTTCATCTTACGAGGAAGGGGTCATGAATGAATGAAGCTCCAAGAGCTAAGTACTGTGTAAAAGCTTGGTGTATGTTTCGCATCTTACGAGGGAGGGGTGACAAATGAATGAAGTTCTAAGAGCTACTTGGTCTGTGATTCGCATCTTATGAAGGAGGGGTGACAAATAAATGAAGCTCTAAGAGCTAAGGTCTGTGATTCGCATCTTATGAAGGGGGTAATGAATGAATGAATTAATGAAACTCCAAGCGCTAAGTATTGTGTATGATTCGCATCTTACGAGAGAGGGGTGATAAATAAATGAAGCTCTAATCTACGGTGTATGATTCGCATCTTACGAGGGAGGGGTGATGAAGAAATGAAGCTGCAAGAGCCAAGTATTGTGTATGATTCGCATCTTACGAGGGAGGGGTGATGAAGAAATGAAGCTGCAAGAGCCAAGTATTGTGTATGATTCGCATCTTACGAGGGAGGGGTCACAAATAAATGAAGCTCTAAGAGCTAAGGTCTGTGATTCGCATCTTACGAGGAAAGGGTGATGAATGAATGAATTAATGAAACTCCAAGAGCTAAGTATTGTGTATGATTCGCATCTTACGAGAGAGGGGTGACAAATGAATGAAGCTCTAAGAGCTACTATGTATGATTCGCATCTTACGAGGGAGGGGTGATGAAGGAATAAAGCTGGAAGAACTACGGTGTA